ACACAGTGTGGAATTAATAAATAAAAATTAATTAGTTTTTAACCAAGAAGGAGTTATTCTTACAGGTTATTCATGAAATCATCGTGCTTGATATTCATGTAAGCAAGTTCCATTTCGATCAGCGATAGAATACTTTTTTTGTATTTGGGTCCGTTGTTATGGATGAACGAAATGACGTTATTTTCGATGATCTCGCGTAAATTCGGATAACTTGACACCTGTGGTGATACAAAAATGCATTTGTTACTATTTGTTTTGGATTTTATTCATTTTCAGTTTAAAAATTGAGCCAATTACTTACATGTTGAGTACAATATCGCACTGCCGATGTTAGTTCCTCTACTACACCTTCAATGCAGACAAGAACAGGTGCCTTTAGTCGTTCTATTTGCGTTCTTACAAGCCCTTCGAACACCATGTACGGCGTAAAGATATTCGATCGATAACCGTAAATATTGCGAACAGCAAAATTGATATCACGTCGTAATTTTTTCTCGTCCAAATTGATCTCGGAAATTTCACGTGGAAAACTAAAAGTTCAAAGTATGATGTAGGTAAGTTTATTAACAGAAAAGAATCCACATTTTCTGGTTACCTTTCATGGAATAGAATGTTGATCTTGGCACCATTAGACAATCTGTCCGTTAGAATGTCATTTAATCCAAGACCACCAATTGCTTTCACGAAATCATCACGCAATTTTTGAACAATGCTATGAATAACAGGCTTCATAGTGTCGGGATTTTCGGCATTCTTGAGGTTGTCAGCATGTACAATTTTGAATTCTTCAACTTCTTTTTCCAACGTAACCATTTGCTTGCGCAGTTTATCTTGCAAACTGGGCAGCTTCTGTCGAATATGTTCCGTCAATTGTTGATTCAAAACGCGCTGTAAATACGGTGTACCCATGCGATCGGCAATGTTTCTATAATATTTATGCCGCAAGAAAAAGTCGCGTTCGGCTTTCAAAGCAGAAGCAATGTCCTTTTTGTCCTCGATGCTCTTTTGCGAACGATTCACAATACCGATATATCCGCGACGCAACGGCAGTAATTTGTTTTCCAAAACGTCACGTGCATCAGTACCTTCATCCATTAAATCCAATTTGGTGATCACACCAATCGTCCGAACTCCCTCTGGATCGACTTCTCGTGCCAATTTTAACGCATCAGAATTGGCCAAATCAGAGTTTGCTGGCGTCACAGCCAAAATCAAGCAAGTATCTTTGCAAATATAATGGAGGATCATTTCTTTGATTTGATCTTCTATGTCGTGTGGTTGATCGGCAACCGGGACTTTTGTTATGCCAGGCAAATCGATTAATGTAATGTTTAATACATTTGGACTGTAGATGTGCAAATTTATCGGAACATTGCTAACCTGCAGTAGAAAATATAAGGAGTAAGATATCAAGAGATATAACAGAGACCCTTTTAAGAGATAATACAGACCCCTTTTCGATTGTCCGTCCCACGATCAGTTTCAGCTTCAATTTCCTTACGAATTTCATTGAAATCGGTAAACTGCTTATCCTTGCAATGCATGAATTCACCATATTCTGTTCGAGTAAAATATTGAAAAAATAACATTGATTTCATTGCTGGAAACTAAACAAGGCGATTTAATTATTAATTAAGATAAATCTTACCAGTTTCCGCGTTGATTAGTTGTAAAATCAATGGGCGTCTTGTGACTACGCCGGCGCCACGCGGTAAAAAATCTCTATAATCATGTACATATATTTTGAGTTATTTTTTTTTTCATAAAAAAAAGAGTTAAACGATAGACACTCAGTACGCACCTTCCGACAAAATTTTCCAAAACAGAACTTTTCCCAGCACTTTGGCAGCCAATCACAGCAATTTGTGGAAAATCAAATTGAATGCTGGAGCCCGTTTGCGAGCATACATCCAGCATCTTATTCGTGGCCAAAATCAGCTTTTCCATGCCAGCATTACCTGGATTGGTTTTCGGTTGATGCTTTCTATCTTCTTCTCTTGATTCCATTTTAACGCTGAATATTATCGGTTTCACCTCCCTAATAAAGTTGATTAACTTTGCCGGTTGAAATTTAAATGACGAAATAAATCGAAAGTATCGGATATATATGCAATCAAAGATCACCGTTTTGACTCATTCGAGATGAATGAATAAATTAGCATGATTTGAAGATCAGTGACACATATGTTACCGTTCATATTTGACCATTTGTTATACTGGGGAATTCCCCAGTTATATGACTGTTTGTGAAGAACCACATAAAACAAATGAAAGACAACATACCTATGATGGACCTGGTCAGACCGGGTATTTACCAAATATGAAAGATACGTTACGATGATATTATTTAATCTGAATGAATCAACCAATTATAGATAGAACTAAAGTAATTAAAAGAAATCAAACATGATGATTGACATCAAAATAATTTGGGCATTTTAATTTCTGTGCCATTGTTCTGTGAATCTTTGAATTCTGTTATTCACTCGTCAAATTCATATGCAAATGATAAACATTTCAGTTCAACGTGAAATATGATAATGTATTGAATGGCGTTTTGTTCAAAAGAACAGTGTGCTATAATAGGACTAATATTTGCAACTATTACATATAAAAAAAATCCGAGAGCATATTTCTTGGATTTTATTGAATTTTATGATGGTGTTAAATACATTTTCATCAATTTCATTAAATGTTTTAAAATAAATTTCACAAAATTTCCATATGAAATCATGTTCAACTCTATTTCTATTACTCTCATTACATCTATTAAGTATCGTGATTACCGAAACATTTCGCTTCAAACATAAATTAGTGAAAAAAAATTGAACAAAATGATTCATTCAATTCTTTCCCAAAACATTTGTTGCTAGAGAGTGACATCAGATAGCATAAAAATTCGCGGTAAAAATAGAAAACCGGTTTTGTTTGTGTTGTTGTTGTTTGTTTTGTTAATGTTTTTAATTTTGGCATCGTCATTTTTTGCCATTTTTAAAGGAACAAACGAAAGGAAAAAAAAGAGTTTCCACTAATTAATTATTGGCTCGTTCAAGTATGCTAGATCAAATATGTATTCAGACATAGATAAATGTATACAAAAAATTATCTGATCATCACAAAGTTACATTTACCGTAAAAGTCATCTGTGAAGCTGTGTGAAGCCAACCATGAGGCGTACACAAACAACGATTGTTTTTTTTTTTT